TTGCTGTCTCCAGCAATCGACGCTGCGCCCCTCTTCTAAACCACCTGCAGCACCAGCACCAGCAGCAGCAAGAGGCAGGGCCCCCAAGAGAAAAGCTTTGCTGCGTCTCCCTGTATTCTGTGAACCGCTTGAAGACGAATACCAGTATGAAAATTTCTCGAGGGGCCCCCAGGGGGCCCCCCACATGGGCCCCCAGGGGGCCCCCCACATGGGCCCCCAGACGGCTCACCATAGGGGCCCCCAGAAGGGCCCCTATGGAGGCCCCCAGGGGGGCCCACAGGGTGGCCCCCACTGGGGCTCCCGCATGCATGAGGCCTCAGGCAAGAGAGGGGTGTCTCTGAGCAACCATGGGTGGCATGTGGAGGCGGAGATGCTGCCTGCTGACTTCAGTTTGCTGCCGACGACATATATGCTGCAGTGGCAGCTGTTGGAGACAGAGGAGACACCTGAGGGGGTCCCCTCATCTACTGCTGCTGCTGCTGCTGCTGCTGCTGCTGCTGAAAGGAGACACCTAGAAGATACAGCCCCAGAGGAATCTGATGCAGACCTCAGGCTGCACCTGCAGGCGTCATCGGATGTCTCTCGGCTCTGCAGCCAGGTGAGACCGCAGCAGCACCTCACTTCTGCTGCTGCTACTGCTGCCGCTGCTGCTGCTGCTGCTGCTGCTGCTGCTGCTGCAGGAGCAGCAGCAGCAGCAGACAACAACAGGCATCAACCAACCACTCCCAGACGCCCCCCAACTCTCTCCGTTTCTCTGTTTTTGCGTGTGTGTATGTGTGTGTGTGTGTGTGTGTGTGTGTGTGTGTGTGTATCAGCCTTGCCCTGAGTCTAGTTCTTGCGCGATAACAGAGCGTCTGGATGGGTTCGCAGTGCTGGGGTGTCGCTGCGCTTGGGGGTTTGTTGGGGCTGCATGCGAGGTGGAGTTTGTGGGGTTTTGGTTGCGGGCAGCGGGGCAGCTGCTGCTGGTACTATCAAACCTGGCTCTGCTCCCCAGCTGTCTCCTCTGTCTCCGTCTCGCCCTCAGACACCTCAGCTTACCCGGAAACCCTAATGCATGCAAACGATGCGCTAATATACACACAAAAATACACACTTATAAAGAAAACAAATACACATATACACACACACAATGTCTACTCTATACACTCAGGGCTGCAGCATACCTCAGCGCTTGTAAGCACACACCACACACCACACAGATACATACAGATATATATATATATATATATATATATATATA